TCCCTAAAGGAAGAATCGCGTCCGATATCGTCGTTTACAGTACCTGGATTGGGACAGTTTCAATTCAAGAGAATGCCCTTCGGGCTGTCATACGCAGGAGCGTTCTTCCAGAGGTTGATGGATAAGGTGATAGGCTCGGATATAGATCCATTCGCTTTTGGCTACCTCGACGACATTATAGTGGTTTCGTCGTCATTCGAAGAGCATAAGCGGCACCAAGAAATGATATTAAAGAGAATTCTAGGTGCAGGCCTAACCATCAACAAAGCCAAAAGTCACTTCTGTAAGACGGAAGTCAGGTACTTGGGAGTTCTTGTGAACCAGGACCGAGTAAAACCAGATCCCGAGAAGATACGACCAATACTGGAGTATCCAACACCCCGGACTGTCAAACAGGTTAAGCGATTCATAGGAATCACGTCGTGGTATAGACGTTTTATACCCGATTTTGCCATGATCGCTGAACCTATAAACCGCCTGACAAAGAAGAATGTACATTTCTCTTAGGAGGAGGAGCAAGAGCGAGATTTCACAAGGTTGCAGAAGGCGATGACTTCCGCCCCAATACTGCAACCGCTCGATCCTAGCGGTCAGTTTCTACTGATGCCAGTAACAGTGGGATCGGGGTAGTCCTCACACACGATGTTGATGGAGAGGAACGTGTGATAGAATATGCCAGCCGATAACTCAACAGTGTGTTGAGAGGAAAGACATCGATCCTCGTGAGCCGCAAGAAGAACGGCCATTGGATGCGACCGAATCTGCGAAAGCGTGCGATGATCCGGTCGGGAATTTGTCGAGCAAGCAGATCGAGTTAGCAGCCCCCACGGCCGTAGCTAATGATCCCACCAAGACGTCGGATTTGACGGTATCTGCCCCAATCAAGAGAGGTCCAAGGGACGGTCACCGGTCAAGCAAGAGGTGACAACTCCCCCTTAAAGGAATATAGAGGGAGAGGTAGGCCTCGAAAAACCGTGCCCGTCGTGGAAAGGACGGTTAGGCCGTTATACCCGAATGGTAACCGACGAGGGTCAGGGCGTTCCCGCGATAAATAGCGAGAGAACGCATAACTCGGTGGGATGTGGCAATTGATAGGATTTTTCTTCGCGCAGGGAGTTTCATCCGAGATTTTTTTTGTTTTGGATGTTACAGATGGACCGGAAAATCGTCGTGGAGGAAGAGACCTTCGAGGTGGTCACGCAGATGTTGCTAGATCTGCAGCTGAGCCCTGATGCAACGTAGCTTATAGAAGATCTGCGTAGCTTCGCCAGGATCCAGTTGGAGGGCACAATCTGAAGGGAGCGCCTCACCGGATGGCGAACATTCTTCGGGATCCAACGTGGGTCGCCCTGAAGAAGGCTTCTCAGGGCGCTTGTACTCAGACACAGGACCAGGAAGAGGACAAGAGTCCCAAGTACATCGTGGACCAGGGAGTGCAGACCCTCAAGTCCGGCGTACCCAAACGTCGGACAGTGCGAGTCAGTGCCTAGGACCCAGGGAAACCTGTGGGGCATCGTACGGGGTCTGCAACCACCTCCGTATCCCTGAGCAGCCAACTCTCCTCCTCGACTTCAGACACGTGCGTCTGGGGATCAACTAGGTGGAGAGTGCCTGGCGGTACGCAGCTGATCTCCAGTCTCAAGTGCAGGAGCACCTGAGACGCTTCCTGAACCGTCAGGGCGTAGAAGAACTGCTCGGGGAGTAGGCAGAGGTGGCTCAACGCCAGAGGCCCTACAGAGAGGACTTGTTGCGGCTGGATAAGGGACAGAAGTCCCCGCAGCGCTCCCGGCGACGGCTCAAGAGAAGAGAGCTCCGGGAGCTACTGGTGCTGGGCCGATGCTCACGGTCCACGTGGACGGTTATATGGCTCCCGATACCACAATCGTGATCAGGTCGCAAGATGGCCTTGCGATCGCCAGGGTAGAAGGCGTTACGATCATCAGCTGAAGGGCTGCTACATATGTAGGGAGCCTGGGATGATCAACTCCCAGCGGTGCCCGAAGAAAGATATGCACTGGCGCTACCCGAAACATCGAGCGCCAGGTGTAACCAAGAAATGATGTCGGCCCTGAAGGGCTAATAATAAAGTAGCCCTATACATAAAGAAGGGAAGTTTTTTAGTTCATTTGGTTTCTTTTCTTCTTTTCTTTTTTAGGTTTCTAGTGGCAGTGAATCGCGGGTATTCGTCCAGCCCAGGTAGTCAAGACTTGGAGGGGGCTGCAACTGTAGTCGATTCGATTAATCGATCCGTTCGCGATTCGTTTACTCGCGATGTTAATTTGAACGACTAAGAGAGAGAGAGGGCGCGCGAGAGTTTGAAAATAGGCAGTTACGCCTCAGCTGCTTTTGAGAAAGTACCGTCGGATTTAGTTCGCATTGTGTTCCGCCGTTATTAATTATAAAGTTTCTGGGATTTTGATACATGAGTGGGTGTAAGAAGGAAACATCTCAATAGCAGCATCCGAAGCAACAGCAGCATTACAGCGGCAGCAAGCAGCAGCAGATTTTTTATTGAGGCAGCGCAGCTAATATTTGAGGAGCATCGACCGTTGATTTTCTTCAATATCAATTACGGCTGATGACCGTAATTACACCGCAGGGTAGGTACACCTCTCTTTATTATTGCGCTACAAAATACTTTCTAAAGTATTTTGTCAAACGCGAGCGTATTTTTTTTGTATTCTCGTCGAGCGTTAGATTTCGCGGCAATTTTCGAATTCTCTCTCTCTCTCTCTCACCGAATTATAATCTATAATTGTGAATCCTATTCGCGTACATTAGTCTTTCGGCTCATAAAAGACTGTAGTTTTTATTAATTAAACTTTGTTAATTTCATTTGCCGTTTACGTCATTTCGTTTCCTATTAGCTTAATAGATCTATAAAGGCTTAAGTCTTACTTCGATTTCGTCTAGGGGATTGAGCGGATTAGGTGTTAAGTCATTCATACTCAAGATAGATCAAGTGTCACAAGTCAAGTGACTTAAGGTGAGTTCAACTCGGTTGAAAAGAAGATACTGAAACGAAAGTATCAAATGTAAAGGCGAATATACGTATAACCATACGTATTTAACGGAGCGGTGATTAGCTCTGCATCGTTGGAGTTTGTGCGTTAATAAATTTCTCATTTTGCTAGTTAGCCACCCCGTTCCAACTCGTGTTAAATTCTTTTGGTCGCGGCTGTCGAATGACGCAAATTTTCAAAACCAGTCTTCAGCGCTTGCATTTAACATACTTTTGATATACTTCCTAGTTTTATTTCATTTTAAAGTATTTCTTTGTACACAATGTTTTTCGTGTACATTGTATTTGCACATTTTTGTTTATTCGTTCTTTTTATTAATGCATTGTTTGATAGTACAATTTTCAAAATTTTCCTGGATTTCGATGGTGACAATGCCACATATAATTGTCCATGACTGTAAACAGATGATGGTAAATAAACTCCGACTTTGTCATATGATTGCCCTTGCGGTTTGTTAATTGTCATTGCAAAACCTAACCTTGTTGGAAATTGTCTTCTACGCCTATTAAAAGGTATATTTTCTTTTGGTGGTGACAAACTTACACGAGGTATAAAAACTAATTTTCCAACATTTTTACCACTTATTATTTTAGCTTGAATACAATATTCAAGTAATTTAATTATTATTAATCTTTTTTCGTTACAGAGACCTTCATTTAAGTTCAAATTTCTTAATAATATAATGATAGCTCTAACTTTTAATAATAATTTATGTGGTGGTTGTTCGCGGCATCTGCGCTTCATGTGCATAGCACGAAAGTAGAGAGTAATAATTTATAATAATTTTTTTTGGCGGTTGTAAATGTGAAAGTTTATTTAGAGATTCGGTCCTTTGTCGCTTAATGTTTTCTCTCTTTTTTTGCGGATGGGGAAAACCCAGAATATTAACACGTGCGGCAGTTCCAGCGGTGCGCGCGCGATACAAAAGAAAACAGGCGGTATGGTCGTCCAGCAATTGTCGCGCAGGTAAACGTTCGGAGGGAAATTCGGCACTATAAACCTTGCTTTTTTTAATTGTCTCCGCGAACAGGCCCAATGCTGGAGAAAACTCTGATCCTTCTTCAGGAAGGAGGAAGCAGTAGTAGCTCTCGAGAACTCGATCCTTACACCTCGTAGCTCTATCTCAGCACCTCGTCGCATTATTTTCAGTCACCTAGTTGCGCTCAGTTAACTGTTGCTTTCAATTGCTACGTCGTTGTGTTAGTTTATCGTGCTAGCCTTCACGGGTAACGTGTGTGTTGAATGTGAGTGCGAGTTCCTGCAGTATCGTGCATTTTATCTTGTGACCTGTCGAACCCACGATCGCAACAAGGGCTACCGGCATCCGTAGGCCTAGCTGAGGATATATGTGATATCCTCTGAGGCGTCTCCGACCCTGGGCAGCTCAGACAGCAGCAACTCGGCCCTACTTTAGGGGCAGCATAGTGCGGGCCGTGCCCGTGACCAAGACGTTGGCACTGTGCTGCTCTAGGAGACGACCTTCCTTCTCGCACAAGGTGCAATTAGCGTCGTGTGGTAAGCGAGTAGTCTATAACTTGAATGGCCATTCACAGGCAAAGCGAGCCTGCCGAAATGTATTAACTATAATAAGTAGCATAACTCTGTACATTCGTCGACTGTATTTGCTTATATTTAGATGGCTTTTCCCTACTTATGACTGGGGTTTTTATGCCGGATAAATACGAGCCTAATTATATTAGATAAAATTATAATAAAAATAAATCCATATCTTTTATTTGTTCACTATTCACGCACCATATTAGTATTAAATTTCAAATAACTCAATATACATAAGACTTATAAATTCTTTCTAATTGTCCAATTTGTTCATGGTGCCCCGGGTGAGGAGTGCGTGATTAGTGAGTAAATACATTGATTGCTGCGTTGCTTTATGGTCATATTTAGAATTGTCTTGTGTTAGAGGTCCACCACGATATAGTACGCTCTTTCCATTTGTCTTTTTGTCTTTGTGTGTAAATGGCGCCTAGCCCGTTAACCCGACTGATAGTACTCCAACAACAACGCCATGATGAAATTAAACGCATCGGCGATCACATACGTCATCGTGCGGCTAACATGCTTAGCAAAACGATCGTACAAACGCGCATTAATATGATCAACGACCTGTGGGCGGATGTGCGTAAGACACACACCGATATTGCACTGCGAGCAGAGGCGTTTGAAAACGCTTATATTACTGAAAATAAGTACGCTGCCTTGCAAGATATCTATGAGAATACCCTTGACGTATTGTTAACCGCACTACCGCAGTCTCCGAGTAATGAGGAACGCAATCCTCGACGACGCGAACGTGAAGACGACGATCACGACGATTGTTCAGCAAAACTTCCTAGGTTAGATCTACCTACCTTCTCGGGCAAGCATGAAGATTGGGATAGCTTCGCGGACATTTTTACCACCCTCGTACACAACGCGCCGCGCATTGCTGATACTACTAAGCTTCAATACCTGAAGTCTTGCTTGAAAGGCTCTGCAGCCGAGTTAGTGAAGGACGTCACTATCTTAGGTATAAATTATGATACGACATGGAAAGCTTTGAAAAATCGATTTCATAATCCGCGCTTGACAATTAATAACTTGCTTGACGCCTTTATTAACTTGCCGCATCTTAAGAAATAGTCAGCCTCTGATTTGCGTAGTTTTATCGACAATGCACAACGGATTGTGCGTGCGCTTAAAAATCTAAGAGCTCTAGTAGTCCATTGGGATTTATGGCTAGTCCATTTATTGGAAGTCCGTCTTGATACCGAGTCCTGAAAACACTGGGAAGCTGAGTGGAGTGCGAAAGATCAATCATCCTTAGCCAACATAGAAGACGATGACGATGATTATCTCGTTCGCATGCCAAAGTTCGTCGATTTGGCTGCGTTTCTAGAGAGACGCGCACAGTCTTTGATAGTCATCCAAGCTGATAAGGAGGACAAACGTCCGAACCCTCCTATCAGTACTCTCTCAAGCTCGCGTAAAGTTCATCACGCACAATCGTCGCAGCCAGCCAGGACTTTGAAATGTGGATTTTGCGAAGGAAATCATTTTACTTCAAAATGTTCCGCCTTCCTTGCAAAAACTCCAGAAGAACGCAAAAAGGCAGTGCGCGAAGCTAAGCTGTGCTTCAACTGCCTCGGCCGTCATAATCGTTCCGCGTGCCCATCAAAGTATAGGTGTAAAGACTGCACAACCGAAGAACGTCATCATACTTTGCTTCACTCCGCTTTTTCCACTGAAAGGTCAAGCGCTTTAGCAGCTACACAAAAATTTAGAGCGAATATTGGGCGCACGGCGGGCGGCCCCGGACTCAGTATTAACGCTTGCAACTCGGCTGCAAGTCAGCAATCCATCTTACTCGCCACGGCCCAAGTTACGGTTATAGGCCCGTTTGGAAGACAGACTTGTGCTCGGGTCTTGCTTGATCAAGGGTCAGAAGCCACGTTTGTCTCTGAGTCGCTCGTCCAACTCCTCCAGCTCAAACGAGATCGTGTGACAACTAGCCTAATGGGAATAGGAGGCTGTACTGCTGGCACCGTCAAACACGCGACTAGCTTCACCATGAAATCGAACCAGGATCCTCCATTTAAAATTGATGTGAATGCATTTGTTCTGCCTAGATTGACGTCCGAATTACCGTCGCGAAATCTTGTGGAGCTTGAATTAGAACCATTTAAGATGCTACCTCTCGCTGATCCGGAATTTTATCTCTCGGATAGAGTCGACATTTTGATAGGAGCGGATCTTTACGGACAATTGTTACAAGCAGGTTTGACCAAATTTCCTTCAAGCTCGCTAGTTGCGCAAAATACTGCTCTCGGCTGGGTGATATCGGGTCCAACGCAAAGAGTGCCGTCACGGCGGCCGGCAGCAAGCAAACGTGAGACCGTTAAATCTTTGCGTTGTGTAGTTAGCAATGACTTAAGTGATGTGATCGAACGTTTTTGGACAGTCGAAGAGGTTCCTGTCGCGCCTAAGAGTCTGAAGCCTCAGGATGAAGTATGCGAGAAACTTTTTGCCGAAACTCATAAGCGTACTACTGATGGACGATTTCAGGTTCGCCTACCCCTTAATTCAGAGCCTCCACGAGTAGCAGATGAGACGCGAAGAGTGGCCCTCGGTTCTTTGCAACACCTATTGCGTCGCTTTTCGCGCGATCCTACATTACAGCAGGCATACACCGACTTTATGGAAACGTACATAAAGCTCGGTCATATGATACCTGTACCAAGATCTGAAATTAAGAACACGCGAGCGTGGTATCATCCACATCATCCTGTTATCACCGGTACTGCAGAAAAACCCAAGATACGTGTTGTTTTTGATGCCTCTCGTCGTACTCATGATAAGTACTGCTTGAACGAGCTTCTCATGTCAGGGCCAGCTCTTCAGAGTGATCTCTCGTTGATCTTGTTGAATTGGCGTCGGTATAAATATGTTTTTACAGCTGATATTGTGAAAATGTTCCGGCAAATTCTTGTTGCTCGCGAAGATCAGGATTTGCAACGCATCCTGTGGTCGCGTGCACCGGGAAGGCCTGCTATGGATTACCGCTTAACAACGGTCACGTACGGCACGGCCTGCGCGCCTTTTCTCGCGATTCGTACGCTGCTGCAATTAGCATCCGACGAAAAGACACGTTTTCCCCTCGGAGCGGCTTGTCTTGAGTCAAATACGTACGTCGACGATACGTTCGCGGGTGCAGATGATTTGCCGACGGCTGTGCGTATACGTGACGAGTTTATCGGCATCTTGAAGTCCGCTGGCATCGAGTTAGATAAGTGGGCTGCAAATCACCCGAATCTATTACCTTCATTTATCCTGTCGGGTGAAGTCGGCGCGATTAAACAAATCGACACTAACAGCGCGGTAAAAACGCTCGGTGTGCATTGAAACCCGTCGAGCGATGCCTTTAGCTTTAGCGCGTCGATCTTGAGCCGTTCAGAGAAAAAACTCACAAAAAGATCGATCTATTCGGACATCGCGCGGTTATATGACCCTCTTGGCTGGCTTGCTCCCGTGACAGTACTTGCAAAAATTATTATGCAGGACTTATGGATTGAGAAGTGCGACTGGAATGAGCCCTTGTCTGCCGAAATCTGTGATCGCTGGCAGAGCTACTGCCAGTCACTCTCAACACTGCACACTCTCTCGATTAATCGTTGACTTGGGTTGTTTGATCAGAAACCATTTGAGATTCATGGTTTTTCTGACGCATCTTCACGTGCATACGCCGCTGTCGTCTATTTACGCATCGATAACGGTAACGGCAATTATCATGTATCGTTGCTAACAGCAAAAACGAAGGTTGCACCAGTTAAGACCGTCAGCATTCCGAACTTTGAGTTGTGCGGTGCAACTCTTCTCGTTAAATTAGTGGTACACTTGCAAAAACTGAAGTTTCTGCAAAATGTGCCAATACGCCTATGGTCCGACAGTCAAGTAGTACTCACTTGGCTCAAGAAGCACCCGTGTCATTGGAAGACATTTGTTGCCAACCGTGTTTCTTTAATTCAAACCGAGTTACCTTCCGCGTTGTGGTCGCACGTACCCACAAAACAAAATCCGGCTGATCTTGCCACGCGAGGCTCGACGCCTGACGAATTGCGAGCGAATGACTTGTGGTGGACTGGTCCTATGTGGCTATTATCTCCTTCTGATAAATGGCCCCAGCCACAACAATCGTTGCGTTCACTACATACTCGGCCAAGCTCTGACGAACCAGTGTTGTTGGCGAGATACTCGAGTCTTACGCGACTCGTACGTATAACTGCATGGTGTTTGCGACCAATATTGCAAAAGGTTCGACAGCGAGCATCCCAAGGCTCTTATCCTAAATATCTCACGCTTGCAGATATTGATAATGCCAGAACCGTGATCGTGAGAGTAGCTTAAGCGCACGCGTTTTCGACGGAAATCGAGTTTCTACGATCTCATAAGACTCTACCTAAGCGCCATTATTTATGCAAATTACAGTCCTTTTTAGATAAGGATGGTATTCTTCGCGTCGGAGGTCGCTTGAGTAATGCCAATCTACCTCGCCATTTGCAATATCCGCCAATTTTACCTCGTTCCTCATCCCTTAGCCGACTCTTTGTGTCATACGCGCACGAGCGAGCGTATCATGGTGGACCTACTCTAACGATAAGTATTCTGTTGCGATTTGCGTGGATTGTGAATATGCGAGCGTTGGTCAAATCAGCGATACACAAATGTGTAAGATGCCAGCGTCATTCGCCTCGCTTGGCCCATCAACTCATGGGCGACCTACCAACGGAACGTGTGACCCCTGCTCGACCATTTACCAACACTGGTCTGGATTATGCTGGTCCCTTCCAACTACGCGCATCAAAGGGCCGTGGCCGAACGATCTACAAGGGCTACATTGCGCTTTTTGTATGTTTTGCTACAAAGGCATTGCATCTTGAAGTTGTGAGTGATCTCACGACTACTTCATTTCTCGCTGCCTATCGACGCTTCGTAAGCAGAAGAGGACTCTGCAAGAAACTTTTCAGCGATAATGCTGCAACCTTCCGTGGAGCTGACACCGAGCTTCGAAGCATGTTCACAGCCGCCTCAAGCTTTTACAAGGAAGCCGCAAACTTACTACTCAACGATGGAACAGAGTGGACATTCATCCCGCCTACAACTCCACACTATGGAGGACTATGGGAGGCTGGAGTTAAGTCTACTAAGAATCTGCTGAAAAAGTTGATTGGAGAACGCATTCTTACTTTCGAAGAGCTATCAACAGTCCTGGCTGAGATTGAAGCTTGCCTCAATTCGCGCCCCTTGTGCCAACTGACAGCAGATCCCGAGGACTTGCAAGCACTCACTCCAGCACATTTTCTCATCGGAGCTGCCTCTGGAGTTATCCCTGACGAAGCCACACCATCAGTCCCGGAAAATCGTCTCGACCGATTCCAACTCTTGCAGCGAATCCGAGACCAATTCTGGAAGCGTTAGTCCAGCGAGTATGTACTTCTACTGCAAGCGCGAAACAAGTGGCAACATCCGACTGCAAATTTCACAATCGGTCAACTGGTCCTTATGAAGGATGATCGCTATCCACCATCTAAATGGCCTCTTGGGCGTGTGCTTGAATTACACGCTGGCTCAGATGGTCTTGTTCGAGTGGTGACTGTCAAGACTGCAAACAACACACTCCGTCGACACATTGCCTGTCTCGCACCCTTGAACCTGCATCGATCTGAAGACCATGAGGATAAGTCCAAGCCGGAAAATAGTATATAAGTTGCGAAGTGTACATTCGTCCGACGGACGAAGGCGGGCGGAATGTTCGCGGCATCTGCGCTTCATGTGCATAGCACGAAAGTAGAGAGTAATAATTTATAACAATTTTTTTTGGCGGTTGTAAATGTGAAAGTTTATTTAGAGATTCGGTCCTTTGTCGCTTAATGTTTTCTCTCTTTTTTTGCGGATGGGGAAAACCCAGAATATTAACATGTGCGGCAGTTCCAGCGGTGCGCGCGCGATACAAAAGAAAACAGGCGGTATGGTCGTCCAGCAATTGTCGCGCAGGTAAACGTTCGGAGGGAAATTCGGCACTATAAACCTTGCTTTTTTTAATTGTCTCCGCGAACAGGCCCAATGCTGGAGAAAACTCTGATCCTTCTTCAGGAAGGAGGAAGCAGTAGTAGCTCTCGAGAACTCGATCCTTACACCTCGTAGCTCTATCTCAGCACCTCGTCGCATTATTTTCAGTCACCTAGTTGCGCTCAGTTAACTGTTGCTTTCAATTGCTACGTCGTTGTGTTAGTTTATCGTGCTAGCCTTCACGGGTAACGTGTGTGTTGAATGTGAGTGCGAGTTCCTGCAGTGTCGTGCATTTTATCTTGTGACCTGTTGAACCCACGATCGCAACAAGAGCTACCGGCATCCGTAGGCCTAGCTGAGGATATACGTGATATCCTCTGAGGCGTCTCCGACCCTGGGCAGCTCAGACAGCAGCAACTCGGCCCTACTTTAGGGGCAGCATAGTGCGGGCCGTGCCCGTGACCAAGACGTTGGCACTGTGCTGCTCTAGGAGACGACCTTCCTTCTCGCACAAGGTGCAATTAGCGTCGTGTGGTAAGCGAGTAGTCTATAACTTGAATGGCCATTCACAGGCAAAGCGAGCCTGCCGAAATGTATTAACTATAATAAGTAGCATAACTCTGTACATTCGTCGACTGTATTTGTTTATATTTAGATGGCTTTTCCCTACTTATGACTGGGGTTTTTATGCCGGATAAATACGAGCCTAATTATATTAGATACAATTATAATAAAAATAAATCCATATCTTTTATTTGTTCACTATTCACGCACCATATTAGTATTAAATTTCAAATAACTCAATATACATGAGACTTATAAATTCTTTCTAATTGTCCAATTTGTTCAGTGGTGATCTATTCGGTGTTAATGAATTGAGAAATTCTGTTGGTAACATAATATTCAAATTTTCGCCATTGTCATCTTCTGCAGTACCTATACTTAGATATTCATATGGGTCTCCTTCTAATATATCTAGAATATCATTGTTGAGTTGTATTACATCGTTATTTTTAGGTGCTAGAATTACTGTCACGTAATTTAACATGTTGCTTTTTCATTTCTTTTCCAAAAATCTCTTGAACAATATTATTCTCTCTTGCAATTAAATCATCAGGAATCTCTAATAATTCATTATCTTCTTCGTATACATCTTTACATTTTCCTTCACCTACAGCCAAGAGCCATTTCTTAAATTGTTCATCTTTATCGGTTACTTGCAAATTTTCACTTAATGACATATTTTTAAATTTTTTCCATAATTCACTCCATTTAACAGAGTTTTCAATTATATTAGTACGACTTCCTTGTCTAACAACTGGTAATATCTGACGAAAATCACCAGATACAATTATACATTTGCTTCCAAAAGGATTATTGTTATCATTTATGTCTTGTAAAAGACGATCTATGGTTTCAAAAGCATATTTTGATGTCGTAGATATTCCATCCTATATAAATATTTCAACGCCTTTAATTATTTTTCCTTCTTTGGAATTTGTTTTAATATTACATACCGTTTTATCGGTTATATTTAATGGTAGTTTGAATTTAGTATGAACTGTTCTACCATTTTTTAATAAATTTCCTGCAATGCTTATTCATGCCACACATAGGTAATTTATTTAGTTAATATCTAGATATTCTATTAAAACCTCTACTACATAGCTTTTACCATTTCCATCTGCTTCATCAATAAAGATGCAATTATCTTTTGATTTGTCATTTAAACTTTATAATACAATATTGAATATGTCTCTTTGTTTTGTATTTAAAGAATTTATTTTTATGTGCAATGTATTCATAAGATTATTACTGTTAACGGATACTGAATTATTGAATATTTCTTCAGTTAATTCATTTGCATTTAGTAAGTCAAAATCTTTCAAACAATATCCTTTTATTTGCAATGTGTTTCCTATTAAATTTAATGCCATATTTTCTTCGATGCTTTTTTCGTATTTAGAATGGTAAAAATTGTTTTTGTATTTTTCAAACAAGACATTTTTTTTCAAACAAGGCATTAATTGGGTTTTCAAATGCAAAAATATAAGCAAATAAGTCACAAAGTGCATGAGGAAATTTTACTCGTGACACTTCTTGTAAGAATCTATCCCATTCATTGTCTTCTGAAATTAGCTTTTTTGCTTTTGCTGCTTCAAAAAACTAATAATAATATAATAAGTTCATATATTGTAACACACTCCATTAACAGTACGTAAATCTTTAAACGATGTTGCTCCTTTGTTATGTAAGAGTAACAGTCGTATGAAATACCGTTCACGATCCTTTGGTGTTACCAAGTATATTTAACTAATCATTGGTTTTTTTCATTTTTGTTGTTGGTACCATTTTTTTTTGCTATAATCAAAAGTATAATAAAAGTATAATCAAAGGTATAAAATCTTGGTATTTCGGAATACGTATAATTACGAGCTTGTGGATCAAGTTTATTTAGATCAAAATATGCAGTAAGAGTTGTTGCAACATTTTTTCCAGTTATTTGTTCTTCTTTGTCTTTTTCAAAATATGTCTCTTATTGATTTTCCTGGCGTACAGCTAAATGCATTATTGTATGAGACATTGAATATAATGGATACTCTAATAATCTGTATATAGCCTCTGGTGGGCATAAATGTCTTGGGTTAATATATTGTTTAAATTCGTCATAATTATAATTTTCACTATTTACATCTTCTTCATTATTTATTCTTGTATTATTATTAGTAAAATCTATGTTTGCACTTTAAATTTTTATGAAAGCACAGTTATAATCTTTATAACAATACTTAAAAGTAGGTAAACTAGGCAGGCCATAGATCAGGAGGGCCTCAGATCATGGGGGGGGGCCTCAAATCAGTGATCTAAACTGCATGATCTATGAGATCAGCACTCTTAGATCAGGCGCCCCCTCTACTCCTGCAGCACTCTTAGATCAGACGCCCCCGCCGCCGCTCCCTCTGAGATCTGAGGCGTATGAGCTATCAGATCAGCACTGTTAGATTATGCGCAAGAGCCCCTCCCCCTACCCGCCCGCCCGCCAAATGTAAAATGCGTTTTAAATATTAAAAGAAATTTATGTAATTAATTGCATTTAATTAATTTGACGCAATTGATTTACGTCTAATGCATAGATTTAGTGAAAAAAATGAGCAGACACCACGGGGAATCGATCTCGCGTCCTATGGATTGATAGACCGTAGCCTCTAGCAAGTGAGCCACGGCTGTTTATAGCTCTTGGTATCTCTTATTGGGTATATTAGGTTCACACAACCAAACAGCTACTGGATTACGGTGTCTCCCCGCCGCGACTTCATCCGTATGTGTGCACGTGTTTT